CCCGTTTCGATTGAAAGTGGCATAGTCACTCTGAAACAGTGGAATCCCAACATTAAATTTCCTTCTCCAAATGTTTCAAAGGTTTGCTGGAGATAAGTTCAATCAAGAAACCAGAAAAATGGCGTATTAACGTAGACAAAGACACTTTGGAGTGTAATATCAAAGACAACAACTACAACCTTGTGTCTGTACAATGGAAGATCATCAACAAGGAYAATATACCAGGTAATCGCACGAAATCAGAAAAACAGAATGTCTGGCCGCMTAAAATTAGATATCTCACGCTATAGAAAATGATACCTTCGCAAAAGAGTCCAAAATATTATCATTGTTAATTTTTTCGCAATTGCTTCTATTTCTACTCTTTTTAAGACGACTTCCTTGCCAAGCCTAAGTTTGAAGAGATTCGAGATGCTGGCGGGAAACTCGTTGGTTCTCGTCTTCATTTATTGGATGTCACTCCAGAAAACGCAAGACTGGATTACGTCTGCGTAGCGACCAACGTCAACGGAGAAACACGCAAGACTGTGAACGTTCCTTGGCCTTTCCCCGTTTAAAGGTAATTGCCAACAAAATTAAACCTTTTTCTTCTTCGATGTATTTTTCMAAAAAAGATATGAAGCATAGCAAAAATCCAAAATGTTTCAAATTCCTGAGTTTTAGTCAACTTTTTAATGTAAAAACGTTTATAGTTTTGTAATTCTCTTTAACACTTCTGAACATAAAAATGCAAACAAAATGATACGGATTCTATCTTCTCGCGTTAAGAGTATCTCAGTGTTTTCAACACGAGAAGATAACATCCATATCGCCACAGGCCTATATGTGAGCAATTCTCTGTATACATGTATGCATCACCTACAAGCTATACACGAGTTTCAAAGATGGCGGTAGTTTACGACCGTAACTGTCAGGTGGCTAGAGACGATTAATGGAAACGAAGACTCAAAGGACTTAGGAAAAACAACACAATATATCGCATGTATGGCATTGGTCAATTTTAACTCTTGCTGTAAAACATAATAAAATCGTCTAAAAAAATAAGAAACACTTCCGAATAATCGGCTATTTTGTTTGTTTAAATATATGGCATGGATTCGCTAAAAAAAGCCCGAAACTAAAATGCACAGGGATCCCGCAGGCATGACATACAATTCTTTGATATGTAAAAAGTGATTGCGTTTTTTTCCTTCCAGGTTTCTTTGCTGAATTTGATTCGAAATCAGTCTGATGAAGAAGCAAAAAGACTTCAATCTTAGAACGAATATAAACAATAAAGATGTTGTATCATCAACTGCTGTCATTTTGTTGCTAGTGCACACTCGCAGTAAGACTGTAAGGTCGACAATTAGAAGGATGATGATTGGGTAGACAACAATATATAAATACTTTCTAAAACAAAAAAAAGGGGAAAAATATCATTAAATGCGATAGAGAAGAAAGCGGAAATAAATAAAAAAAAACTACACTTACTTGCAAATAAAAAAAGAAAGAAAAAAAGAAGATTTTACTTGCATGTCTCTTGATCATGAAGTAGTATCAACAATGAACAATCAGCTGGTGCCTTGATATATGCGCGCGCGTTGTGATTGGTTGTCTAAAAATAGATTATCGGTACATCTGATGGTGATGAGATTATTAGCGAGATGGACACTTCTGGTTATGTACTTCTGCTGTCGTGAAAGTCCATTGTTTTAGTTTCTTTAAAGTATCAAAGTTAATGGCGAGCAAAGTAGCGACCGTCTCGACCAATCAGAAAGCGAGAAAATTTATCATATGTTTTACAAAATGTCTTTCTTCCTGCGAATTTTTAAAACCTATTTATGAATATGGCTTTAATTGCTGTTGTCTTTTTAAAAGTCTTTGCAAGTGGACAACGTTATATTGGATTGGATGTGTCATTATATTGTGATCTATGTGATAAAACATTTACAAATACATTGTTCTCTGTTCATCTTATCTTATTATAGACTGGTAGTTGTGTCTGTTGTTATACGTTTAAAATAGTCTTCTTCGCATTTCCCTGCACAATCTAGGCTTGGAATGAATCCGTGCCCTTGCATGATCGAAGCGAGACGACCGCATGGCCAGATCTATAAAGGCTGATTAGGGTGTCTCACCCTTTCAGGGTCAAAAAATAGAAGTAGAAATTATGATATCAATGAGTAGAAGAAAGAAATTCTAAATAGGACTCATTATGAAGAACAACTAACAGCGTTAATTATGAGAAAAATTTTATTTTCCGCAGCCGTACATCTATCCATTTTTTTAAAAAAATGTATCCATTAAAAAAAAGTATATTTTTCAACTTGAGCGCGAGGGAGTTTTTAATTTTCTTATTTTCTTGACATGCAGTCTCCTCGTCTCGCTGATATATATTTTAACAAAAACGTAAAATATAACTTTTTAAATAGTTCAAAATAGAAAAAATGCCATCTGGATGATTTAAGTCTCATATTTATTCTTGGGTTAAAAATTAAAAGAAGTTGAAATCGACTTGAATTGCTAGTTGTTGTTTTACTTTTCTAAACTACCAATGGTGATTTTCTTATTGTTTCGAGAAGCAACATATTTCTGAGTACGCCACACAAGAAAGGTGATTTTTCTAAGATCCTCGACTTTTACCCTCACCCTCGACTTTTTACCTCGACTGTCGACTTTTAGGTACATTCCTTTTTTCCAAGCGTGACAGTGCACAATCTTTTGATGAACTATTGTTTTAGTCATACTGGTCACATCTGAATGAAAATAGCGAAAATTATCCTTTTTACTTTCTTCACAATGTACAAAAAAATTTTAACCAATATTGGAAAATTGCATTTCGTAATCTCGTAGAGGGTGTTTATGTTTAGTCATTTCGCAGTTTCTATCGTCCGTAAGAAAAACGTTGTGGACGGTCTTGACTGATTCAACCTCAAAAGATGTACAAAAGAAGTATAACGAAAATTTTCCAAAYCATTGCCCTCTATTAACTATGAACTTAAGCGGCGTTTACACGAGCATTTTTCCTTGACAAGTTTTCCTTGACAAGTAAAAATTGCTCGTGTAAATGGGGTAAAATGCTTGTCAAGGAAAAGCCAACATGTTCGCTTTTCCTTGACAAGGAAAAATTGTCAAGGACGAAATTTGCTCGTGTAAATGGACAACAAGGAAAATGTGGCAAGGAAAACTTGTGACCTTTCACACGGTCAATTTTTACTTGTCAAGGAAAACTGTCTTGTTCTTCGTTTACACTAGCAAAGAAACATTGTCAAGGAAGAATTGTCGAGGAAAACTTGTTGACCATTTACACTTTCAAAAATCTCAGAAACCTGAACAATAGTCAATGTTGATGAGACCCTAGATAACTATCTTTCCACAAATGGAAAATTAACAATTTTATTGAAGTGAAAAGCAATGGATGTCTGATTAGGCTGAGACAACTCGAAATGTCTACAACAGCGGGCGTGGCAATGCAATGAGAATGCGACTAAACGTCAGGCAATCGAAAAATCTCAAAGTGCCGTGTTTGTGTATACAATCTTGGTGAGCATTATTATTTCTTTATTCCATTTTACTTATTCTATCAATTTGAATTACGGTTGTTCCGACGAATAAAGAAAATCGACTGCCTCACGTTTAGTTCTGGGACTAAACGTCAGGCAATCGAAAAATCTCCAAGYGTCGTGCTTGTGTCTATGAAACTGGAAAYAATTTATTCTAGACTTAATCTCTTTCTTTTAAAAAAGTTCCATTTTCAAAAGCGTCTGATTAAGAGCTTACAAATGGAATTAAATGCAATCTTTTTTTTCTAGCTATAGTGATTCAAGTTTATTACTGAGTTCAAGGAAGATTGCAACAGGTTGCCAGGTGCCCTCAGTATTGAAGCCCTAGGGCAGTGGCTGCATGTATATATGGTTCAATCATTAAAAAGATCGCACTCACAACATTTAAGGTTTTCTGAATGAAAAACTTTTTCGGGACTTCCTCCACAACTGATGAATGAATTTTGCAGCGTTTTGCTTTGTTGTCTGTCCACGAAAAAAAGGACCTCAAAAAATCTCATAAACAATAGTCAATGTTGATGAGGCCCTAAATAACTATCATTCAACAAATTGAAAATTAACAACATTATAGAAGTGGAAATGAATGGATGTCTGATTAGGCTGAGACATCTCGAAATGTCTACAACAGGGGGCGTGGCAAAGCAGCACCAAACCTCAGTCATAAATACTCTCTGAACTTTGTTCACTGCGCACAACTCCAGCAAGCTCTGGATTATAGCAACTGAGTTTGGAAATAGAATATCGTCAACCATGAATGCAGTAAAAACTACATTACTGCTGTTGGTCGTGTTTGGTTTCATTGCATCTGGACTTTGTAAGTTATTATTACTTTAATGTTTTATTTCCAAAATGGAACTATGCTTTTCAGCGAATATTATCTTTTCGATGTTATATAATATTTACAAACAATTGTGATAGAAATCCTTCGCTCGTACTGTTATCTTTCGTTCAAATTCAGAAAAGTATCAATGCAGCTATGCAAGTTTTACTGACGGTAAGATCAGTTTTTGTTTATCTGAACAGTACTCTGAATACAAATAAACCAAGTGCATCAGTGCCACGTCATAACAGTCGTTGAAGCTTTCTGGGCTTTGCCCCAATTGATGTCATATTACTAAAAGAGCGTTTTCAAAGTGAGGGACCTGGCTTTTGTTACGTGCCACGTTGATCATCGCGCACGATGAAAACAATGAAAATGAGAAACATCAAATCTAAACTTGAACATAAGCAATGTTGCGTGCCAAGCTCATGGTTTTGTATCTCGTATTTCGTCGCCTTAGGGGTGATAAATATCTGTATGCAAGAAAATAGATAAAACTATTTTTTTCAAATATAATATTTAAGTAATAGAAGATTTCGAACAAAATTCATGTGTTCAAGTCGCTAAAATACTTAATTGAGGAAAGTCAATGAAAACGGACTTTGATTAACTCGAGGCTTGTAGCTTATGTAGACGTTCTCCACTTTCCAACCGCTAAATAGCGAGATATATTTGTTGTTGTTTTGGGTCGCCGAGTTCAATACAGAGCTGAAAACTGTCGTTGGGAGAGGAAAACTGAGGTTTGTGGTTCTTCTTGCGGCTGATCTTCTGTAGAATTTACTTCCCCAAGGGCTTGAGCCAAGACGTTACTACATTGGTGTAGTTGAGATGAAGAGAGCTTGTTGTTTTAGCTTCTAAGACTTCTGCAAAACGAGTTTTTTTTGCTCTTTTTTTCTTGAAAATCTTCCTGGTTATCTTTTTCTTTGACTTCCATATCAATTTCAAATGTAAGGTAATCCATATACAGATTACCTAACGTAAAACTGTAGACTAAAAGTGCTAGAAATTGAGAGTAATGTTGTTGTTTTTTCGCTACCAGAGAGCGACCCGTGACTTTACCGGCGAAATGGAGCATAGGTTTTTCTAGGCTTTCAGCCAATCAGAGCGCGCGTACTATCTAAGCAATATTATAAAATATGATAATGAATAAATATACAGCAATATGCAGAAATTCTGACCACTTTGACTCATATTCCAACTATATATAAAATATATCAGAAATTATGGGATATCATCACCAAAATGAAGTTAGCCTGGGATTCGCAGCCTTAGATTCACATTGCCTGAGAATGAGATTCGTTTCCGGGGGGGTGAAGCAATTTTCTTTTAAAAGCGTTTCAACGCTATAATATCGTTATAATGAACATCAAAACACATAAATTGTATAGACATAAGTGGATATAGTTGTTATATTTTATATTTACTCGGGGTTCCTGTGGAACGCCGAGTATTAATTTCGGCTTTATTATTTTTTTTTTTTGCATTCATCGCCAAATCGCGGCCAGACTAGCCAGGCGTTCCTAGCCTGTCTTGTCTCGCCCCATGCTTCAAGTGCTAATTGCATCAGCTTCTTCGTCGATGGGCTTATGGTATTTCTTCTTCTCAAAAAATACGCTCAAATCACTCACAAATCCACACGCGGTATAGCCACACTAAAGGATGTCGACCGTTTTCGGAATGGGCTTTTTGAAAAATACCGCGAATAAATCAAGCTTATTGTGACTTAAGTTATGATACGCAAGCCATTTTAATCTATTCAAAGCCGACCAAAGCCAATCATAAACTACAGGCCTTCTATCTTAAAAGCTACTGATATTCAAAGCTCTAACTACTATAAAAGAACAATAGACTCAAGTGTCGATTGTCAACAAAACTGTACAGGTAAAATAACGAAG